ATGGTCACCCCGAACACCCGACCTCGCTTTGTGTGTGCCCCGAACACCGACCACTGCTTGCTGTATGGTCACCCCGCACCGACTTCTGCTTGTTGTATGGTCACCCGGACACGACCACTGCTTGCTGTATGGTCACCCCGAACACCGACCACTGCTGTATATGATCACCCCGAACACCCGACCACTGCTTGCTGTATGGTCACCCCGAACACCGACCACTGCTTACTGTATGGTCACCCCGAACACCCGACCACTGCTTACTGTATGATCACCCCGAACACCGACCACTGCTGCTGTTATGGTCACCCCGAAAGCCACTGCTTGCTGGATGGTCACCCGAACACCCGACCACTGCTTGTTGTATGGTCACCCCGAACACCGACCTGCTCTGTGCGACTCCGACCACTGCTTACTGTATGGTCACCCCGAACACCGACCTCTGCTTGTTGTATGGTCACCCGAACACCGACCTCTGCTTGTTGTATGGTCACCCGAACACCCGACCATTGCTTTTGTGGGTCACCCGAACACCGACACTGCTTGCTGTATGGTCACCCCGAACAGCCGACCACTGCTTGCTTGGTCACCCCGGACACCGGCTTCTACTTGTTGTATGGTCACCCCGAACACCCGACCACTGCTTGCTGTATGGTCACCCCAGACACCCGACCACTGCTTGTTGTATGGTCACCAAACACCGACCACTGCTTGCTGTATGGTCACCGAACCGACTGCGTTGTGTGGTCACCCCAGACATCCGACCACTGCTTGTGTGTATGGTCACCCCGAACACCCGACTGCCTGCTGTATGGTCACCCCGAACACCGACCACTGCTTGCTGTATGGTCACCCAGACGACCTCTGCTTGTTGTGGTCACCCCAGACACCGACCACTGCTTGCTGTATGGTCACCCAGAACCAACCACTGCTTCTGTATGGTCACACCGGCCACTGCTTGTATGGTCACCCCGAACACCAGCCACTGCTGTATGGTCACCCCGAACACAACCACCAGCACTGTATGGTCACCCGAACACCGGCCCGCGCTGTATGGTCACCCGAACACACCACTGCTTGCGTGGGTCACCGAGCACCACTACGCTGTGTCCTGCCGACCACTGCTTGTTGTATGGTCACCGAACACCTACCACTGCTTGCTGTATGGTCACCCAGCACCGACCACTGCGCTGTATGGTCACCCCGAACACCGACCACTGCTTGCTGTGGGTCACCCAGAACCGACCACTGCTTGCTGTAGGTCCCGAACGCTCTGTGTATGGTCACCAACCACTACTTGTTGTATGGTCACCCCGAACACCGACCACTGCTTGTTGTATGGTCACCCGAACACGACCACTGCTTGCTGTAGTTCACCCAGACACCGACCACTGCTTGCTGTATGGTCACCCCAGACACCGACCCTGCTTGCTGTATGGTCACGAACACCGACACTGCTTACTGTATGGTCACCCCGAACACCTGACCACTGCTTGCTGTATGGTCACCCCAGACACCGACTTCTGCTTGTTGTATGGTCACCTCGAACACCCGACCACTGCTTGCTGTATGGTCACCCAGTAAACTTCTGCTTGTTGTGGTCACTAACGATTCTGCTGTTGTATGGTCACCCCGAACCCGACCATGCTGTGGATTGCCCAGACACTGACTTCTGCTTGTTGATGGTCACCTGAACACCCGACCACTGCCTGTATGGTCACCCTGAACATGACTTCTGCTTGTTGTATGGTCACCCCGAACACCGACCACTTGTATGGTCACCTCCGAACACCGACCACTGCCTGTATGGTCACCCCGAACACCGACTTCTGCTTGTTGTATGGTCACCCCGAACACTGACTTCTGCGTTGTATGGTCACCCCGAACCGACCACTGCTTGCACCAGATGGTACTTTCGCTTACCCGACTACTCTTTGTTGTATGGTCACCCCGAACACCCGACCACGCTGCATGGTCACCGGAACCGACCACTGCTTGCTGTATGGTCACCCGAACACCGACTTCTGCTTGTTGTATGGTCACCCCGACACCGCCTGCTTGTTGTATGGTCACCCGAACACCGACCACTGCTTACTGTATGGTCACCCTCAACACCGACTTCTGCTTGTTGTGGTCCCCCGAACACCCTGCTTGGTGTGGTCACCCGAACACCGACTACTGCTTGCTGGTAGTCATCCTGAACACCCGACCTCTGCTTGTTGTATGGTCACCCGAACACCGACTTCTGCATGTTGTATGGTCACCCCGACACCGACTGCTTGTTGTATGATCACCCCGAACACCGACTTCTGCTTGTTGTATGGTCACCCCGAACACCGACCACTGCTTGTTATGGGTCACCCGAACACCGACCACTGCTTTGTATGGTCACCCCGACCAGACTTCGCCTGTATGGTGCCCCGAACACCGACCACTGCTTACTGTATGGTCACCCCTAACACCCGACCCTGCTTACTGTATGGTCACCCCGAACACCCGACCACTGCTGTTGTATGGTCACCCCAGACACCCGACCACTGCTTGCTGTATGGTCACCCGAACACCGACCACTGCTTACTGTGGTCACCTCAACCCGACTTCTGCTTGTTGTATGGTCACCCCTGAACCCGACCACTGCTTGCTGTATGGTCACCCGAACACCCGACCACTGCTTGTTGTATGGTCACCCGAACACCGACCTGCTTACTGTATGGTCACCCCGAACACGACTCTCCAGCGCATCACCGAACTGACCACTGCTTACTGTGTGGTCACCGACCCTTGCTGTGGTCACCCGAACACCGACCACCGCTGTGTCAGTCACCCCGAACACCCGACACTGCTTACTGTGGTCGCCCCACACCAGACCACTGCTGATCACCCGAACACCCGACCACTGCTTACTGTATGGGCGCCCGAACACCGAACCGCTGCCTGTATGGTCACCCCGAACACCCGACCACTGCTTACTGTATGATCACCCCGAACACCCGACCACTGCTTGTTGCATGGTCACCCCGAACACCCGACCACTGCTTGCTGTATGGTCAATCCACCTGTTGCCTCTCATCTCTCTTCGTTATTAAAAGATTATTCTATATAATTTGAGTTTAGAATTGAATTATGAATCGTATAAACAGCGCCCGTGAATATTTATTTGTTTATTTATTTGTAAATTGACAAAATAATTGAATTATGGTTTATCAATGGTCTTAATGACGACTGTGCGGCGCTAAGTTGAAAGTTTTTGGTGTTTTTATTTCCATGTTGACTTAATCGCCAAATTTTTCTTTTTTTTTACTCAGCAGTACTTATGTAAAAACAATGTAAATAGTTTTAAAAGTATTTACCCTCTTAGTGTTTGGCCTCTCTCTCTCTCTCTCTCTCTCTCTCTCTCTCTCTCTCTCTCTCTCTCTCTCACCAACAGGATACAGTCAACATTTTTCCAATAAACCTCAGCAGACATGAATAATTTATCTTCCTCAGCGGGAAAAAAAATTAAGATTAGTCAATTTTCAACGTGGGTTAACGTCTGATCTGGCCGACATCTCTCTTCCCGTGACCATCTGTGGCGGTAAGGTGTCTAATTTACTCTTTGGTTGGGTGAATATTGATAGGGGTGATGGTGGTGGGGGTAGTAGTAGTGGTGGTGGTGTTGGTAGTGGTGGTAGTAGTGATGGTGGTTGTGGTGTTGGTAGTGGTGGTGGTGTTAGTAGTGATGGTGATCGTGGTGTTGGTAGTAGTGGTGGTGGTGGTGGTGGTGTTAGTGGTGGTGTTAGTAGTGATGGTGGTTGTGGTGTTGGTAGTGGTGGTGGTGTTAGTAGTGATGGTGGTGTTAGTGGTGGTGTTAGTAGTGATGGTGATCGTGGTGTTGGTAGTGGTAGGGGGGGGGAGAAGAGAAAGCGCACTCATAATAGGTGATATTTGTATGGTCATTACAACACTTTCTCCCTAACAGTCATTATATTACGTCTGTTGAACTTTATTTTGGGGCGAATTTCAGTGCGTTTAGTTCACTCTCTCGTGTTCACTCTTGTGTTCACTCTATTGTGTTCATTCTAATGCGTTCACTCTCTCGTGTTCACTCTCGTGTTCACTCTGTTTTGTTCACCCCAATGCGTTCACTCAAGCTGACAAGAAGGCGTTTATAAGCTGCGTTAGTGCGGGTAAAGGAAAGAGTAACACAGGTATTTATTGGTTCATGTTTGATTATAATTACTGAACACACCTGGAGTTGATGGTAGGTGACAGACAGACAGACAGACAGAGACAGAGAGACAGACAGACAGAGACACACAGAGAGACAGACAGAGAGACAGACAGACAGAGACAGACAGAGAAACAGACAGACAGACAGACAGACAGACAGATTTTAAGTTTATTTGAATATAATTACTGAACGACCAACATCATAAAGTAACAGATAGATGAATAAATTAACTCTATGTTATTATAATGAGTAAACAACCCCCCCCTCCCTTCCCCTCCCCATCATCGCCCCTCCCTACCCCCTCCTCCCTCCTTCCCCTCCCTCCCATTCCCATCCCTCCTTATAGCCTCCTCCCTCCTACCCCCCTCATCCCCACCACCCTCCCTACCCCCTACCCCTTCCCCTTCTGGTATATAAAATCCAGAACAGATCGCGCCATTATTAATAACAATTATTTATATTATACAAACAATGAATAAGTTTTTCTATTTAGTTTCGTTAGGTTAGGCTATGAATGTGTTTGTGAGTGAGTGAGTGAGTGAGTGAGTGAGTGAGTGAGTGAGTGAGTGAGTGAGTGTCTATGTGTTATTGTTAAGCTTTTGTGAAATTATTATTTTTTTTTTTTAGATTTTAAAAGTACGTTGGCTATCCCCTCTTGTGGTCCATAATGACTGTGTGAGAGAGAGAGAGACGGGGAGGGGGTCAGGGAGAGAGAGAGAGAGAGACACAGAGATAGAGAGAGACTACACTTGTTTCTCCATTATCTCACACAAAAGAGGAATAGTTTTGTTCATCAAGAGTTTCTGCTCTGGTATAAAGGGCAGGAACACACCAAGTGAGGTAATATTTGATTCATGGAGTTTATTTGAAGATACAACAGAGGTTCAGGTGTGAGTACAGGTAGAGTGATTAATGGTCAGCTTGTGGTGATTACAGGGACAATAATTACAGCACAGGTACAATAATTAGAACACAGGTACAATAATTAGAACACAGGTACAATAATTACGGTAAAGGTACAATAATTACAACACAGATACAGTAATTACGGTACAAGTACAATAATTACAACACAGGTATAATAATTGCAGTATAGGTACAATAATTACAATATAGGCAAAATTACAGTACAGGTAAAATGATTACGGCACAAGTACAATAATTACAGCACAGGTACAATAATTACGGTACAGGTACAGTGAGAGACTGAAGTAACCTGCCAGCGTAGGTCCAAGTACAGGGTCACTGGCGGGTTCCACAAGCCTGTTCAGGGGCTTCACACATGTCTCTTAGCTTCGTCTCCTGATTTACTGATAGAATTATTTGCTGAGGGAGTTTTTTTTTTTCAAGGACGATTGGGAGTTTTTTTCTAGGACGATTTGCAATTTTATTTTCAAGGACAATTTTTTTTTTCTTGGACGATTTAAATTTTTTTTTTCAGGTACTATTCATAGGATTTTTTTTCCAGGTACGAAGACGAATCATTAGTTTTTTAATACATTTCCTTTCATACGCTCGTGCGGTGGTGTATGGGAGACGTGTTTTAAACTTTGAAAATTGTAATACACTGTAAACATATGAAAGGGTTTTATATATTCGAAACAATGGCACAGTGGTGTTATTATTAGTATTGACCAATGACCGTGTGTGTGTGTGTGTGTGTGTGTGTGTGTGTGTGTGTGCGTGTGTGGCTATTGTTATTGTGTGTGTGTGTGTGTCTACAGGATTCTGGAAACATATCAAAGGATTCTGGTACAACAAAAATGGAGGAGAATGAATACAAGTTAATTTCTTTTGATAATAATTCAGATACACAGCTATGAATACCGCGGTAACTCTCACTCTCCCTTCTCCCTTATCCCCCCCTGTTTCTCCCCCTTTCTCCCTTTTTTCTGTCTCTCTTCCCCTTCCCTCTTTTCCTCCAACCCCGTCTGCCCCCTCCCTTTCTGTGCTTCTCTCCCTTCTCCTCTCTCTCCTTTCCCCTCCTCCATCCCTTCACTAACCTCCTTCCTCCTCCCCCCCTCCCCTCCCCCCCTCCTCTCCCTCTCTCCTCCCTAAGTCTCAGTTGTATAATTAGAAGCGTAAGAATGAGAAGAAAAACAGCTGACGTGTTTTTGTGAGTGCCAAATCTAATAAAACACACACACACACACACACACACACACACACACACACACAGCAGACGACCAGGTATATTAAATAAGAAAAAACGCACCTGTTGCCAAGGTAAAAAAACAAAAAAACATAAATATTTAAACATTTCAAAACACGATAGACTGTCTACAAACACTCAGAACAGACTGTGCCAAACACTCAGAACAGACTGTGCCAAACACTCAGAATAGACTGTGCCAAACACTCAGAATAGACTGTGCCAAACACTCAGAACAGACTGTGCCAAACACTCAGAACAGACTGTGCCAAACACTCAGAACGCAATACTCTCCAACCACTCGAAACAAGATATAATTATTTGTCTATAATAAAAAACTAATAATTACTGGCGTTATTAAATATAGATTGTGTTGATTATTAAGTTGTTTACATTTGGTGATTATAGTGTAGAGTAAAAAAAATATTGAGAATATTTTGAGTCTTCAAGGGAGGCTCTCGTTGTGACCAGTTATTGATGTTGTTGTTAGCAGTTATTTACGTTGTTGTTGTTGTTGTTGTTATTTGTTATTTAAGTTCTTGTTATTATCATTTATTCACTTTTTTTATTACCAGTTATTCACGTTGTTGTTATTATTAATTTTTATTGTTATTACCAATTATTGTTAACTAAATAAACTGTTTCAATTTGATTCTGTTTCAATTCAATCTCGTATCTACCAGTTAGTGACTGTTGTTGTGTAAATTCTACTGTACTTCTCCCGTTATTAAACAGTAAACGGGATATTTTCTCTAATGTTATCGTGTTTCAGTGTTTCTGTTGTCTGTTGGCAGTAATTCCGTTCAAGTGTCTTCAACGGTAAAAAATAAATCGTGTGTTTTATTAATTTTATTCTTTACGGTGAGAATGATCTCACCAGTTGAAACACACCTACAACGGTAAACAGGTAAAGGTAAATCTAATTGATTTCCTGTTTGTCTGTTGGAGTTAATGATAGTGTATACAGTCTTAGTATTATCGAAGCACCTGGGTTAACTAATAATAAAATAATCATAATAACCAAATAATAATAATAATAATAATAATAATAATAATAATAATAATAATAATAACAATAATAATAATAATAATAATAATAATAACAGCATAAAAAAAATATTACGATTCCTGTAAATTCCTTATAACAAAATTAAACAGTAATAGTTAAACGTGGCGTAACAAGATGACTGACTACCTCTACCGCGCGTTACTCCCACGCTATTAGTCTTGCCAGATAAGCTGAGAGTTATAATAGACACGCAGTAAGGACGCCAACACACAAGATAACGCAAACACCTATTTATATACACCAGCGAGACGCATCAACACGGGGTATTGTATCTTGTGACAATACCTTACCGGAAACTACCAGGGTAAAAAAATAAAAAAATAAAAAAAAATGCTTGTGTGTAAACCTCTCAGGCCGGATGCCTCATGTTCTCGCTGTGTCATTCATGCTCTCTCCCTCTTCAAATTCATTCCTGGTTGTTCTGAATAGTGCCCAGACATACATACACGCACACTCGCATCCAGGCACACACACACAGCCTGTACTGGGGATGAGTCCGTCGCTGGGCTGTTTGACGGATTCACGAGACTGCACTCTCTCACTCCATGAGGATCGCCTTCCTGGCAGTTTACTGGCGGGAATCAGTCTTCCTTGCAGCCTACTATGGGGATCAGTCTTCCCTTGGCAGCTCTACTGGCGGGGATCAGTTCTTCCTTAGCAGCTCTACTGGCGGGAATCAGTCTTCCTTGGCAGCTCTACTGGCGGGGATCAGTCTTCCTTGGCAGCTCTACTGGCGGGGATCAGTCTTCCTGGCAGCTCTTACTGGGGATCAGTCTTCCTTAGCAGCTTACTTGCGATCAGTCTTCCTTGGCAGTTCTACTGGCGGGGACAGTCTTCCTTGGCAGCTCTTACTGGCGGGGATCAGTCTTCCCTTAGCAGCTCTACTGGCGGGGATCAGTCTTCCCTTGGCAGCTCTACTGGCGGGGATCAGTCTTCCTTAGCAGCTCTTACTGGCGGGGATCAGTCTTCCTTAGCAGCTCTACTGGCGGGGATCAGTCTTCCCTTGGCAGCTTCCTGGCGGATCAGTCTTCCTTAGCAGCTCTTACTGGCGGGGATCAGTCTTCCCTTAGCAGCTCTACTGGCGGGGATCAGTCTTCCCTGGCAGTCTTACTGGCGGGATCAGTCTTCCTTAGCAGCTCTTATGGCGGGATCAGTCTTCTTGGCAGCTCTTACTGGCGGGGATCAGTCTTCCCTTAGCAGCTCTACTGGCGGGGATCACCTTGGCAGCTCTACTGGCGGGGATCAGTCTTCCCTTAGCAGCTCTACTGGCGGGATCAGTCTTCCTTGGCAGCTCTTACTGGCGGGAATCAGTCTTCCCCTTAGCAGCTCTACTGGCGGGGATCAGTCTTCCCTTGGCAGCTCTTACTGGCGGGGATCAGTCTTCCTTAGCAGCTCTACTGGCGGGGATCAGTCTTCCTTAGCAGCTCTTACTGGCGGATCAGTCTTCCCTTGGCAGCTCTTACTGGCGGGATCAGTCTTCCCTTGGCAGTCTCTTTGGCGGGGATCAGTCTTCCTTAGCAGCTCTTACTGGCGGGGATCAGTCTTCCCTTACAGCTCTTACTGGCGGGATCAGTCTTCTGCAGCTTACGGCGGGGACGTAGCATTTACTGGCGGGACAGTCTTCCCTTGGCAGCTCTACTGGCGGGGATCAGTCTTCCCTTGGCAGCTCTACTGGCGGGGATCAGTCTTCCCAGCAGCTCTTACTGGCGGGGATCAGTCTTCCCGGCAGCTCTTACTGGCGGGGATCAGTCTTCCCTTAGCAGCTCTTACTGGCGGGGATCAGTCTTCCTTTGCAGCTCTTACTGGCGGGGATCAGTCTTCCCTTGGCAGCTCTTACTGGCGGGGATCGTCTTCCTTGCAGTTTACTGGCGGATCAGTCTTCCTTAGCAGCTCTTACTGGCGGGGATCAGTCTTCCTTGGCAGCTCTACTGGCGGGGATCAGTCTTCCCTTGGCAGCTCTTACTGGCGGATCAGTCTTCCCTTAGCAGCTCTACTGGCGGGGATCAGTCTTCCTTAGCAGCTCTACTGGCGGGGATCAGTCTTCCTTGGCAGCTCTTACTGGCGGGGATCAGTCTCCTTAGCAGCTCTTACTGGGGGGGATCAGTCTTCCCTTGGCAGCTCTTACTGGCGGGGATCAGTCTTCCTTGGCAGCTCTTACTGGCGGGGATCAGTCTTCCTTAGCAGTTTACTGGCGGGGATCAGTCTTCCCTTGGCAGCTCTTACTGGCGGGGATCAGTCTTCCTTAGCAGCTCTTACTGGGGATCAGTCTTCCTTGGCAGCTCTACTGGCGGGGATCAGTCTTCCTTAGCAGCTCTTACTGGCGGGATCAGTCTTCCCTTGGCAGCTCTTACTGGCGGGATCAGTCTTCCCTTAGCAGCTCTACTGGCGGGGATCAGTCTTCCCTGGCAGCTCTTACTGGCGGATCAGTCTTTAGCAGCTCTTACTGGCGGGGATCAGTCTTCCCTTGGCAGCTCTTACTGGCGGGATCAGTCTTCCCTTAGCAGCTCTTACTGGCGGGATCAGTCTTCCCTTAGCAGCTCTTACTGGCGGGGATCAGTCTTCCCAGCTCTTACTGGGGATCAGTCTTCCTTGGCAGCTCTTACTGGCGGGGATCAGTCTTCCCCAGCAGCTCTTACTGGCGGGATCAGTCTTCCCTTAGCAGCTCTTACTGGCGGGGATCAGTCTTCCCGCGCAGCTCTTACTGGCGGGATCAGTCTTCCCTTGGCAGCTCTTACTGGCGGGATCAGTCTTCTAGCAGCTCTTACTGGCGGGGATCAGTCTTCCTTAGCAGCTCTTACTGGCGAGATCAGTCTTCCTTAGCAGCTCTTACTGGCGGGGATCAGTCTTCCTTAGCAGCTCTTCTGGCGGGGATCAGTCTTCGCCAGCTCTTACTGGGATCAGTCTTCCGCAGCTCTTACTGGCGGATCAGTCTTCGGCAGCTCTTACTGGCGGGATCAGTCTTCCTTAGCAGCTCTTACTGGCGGGGATCAGTCTTCCCGCAGCGCTCTTCTGGCGGGGATCAGTCTTCTAGCAGCTCTTACTGGCGGGGATCAGTCTTCCTTGGCAGCTCTTACTGGCGGGATCAGTCTTCCTTAGGCGCTCTTACTGGCGGGGATCAGTCTTCCTGCAGCTCTTACTGGCGGGGATCAGTCTTCCTTAGCAGCTTACTGGCGGGATCAGTCTTCCCGAGCAGCTCTTACTGGCGGATCAGTCTTCCCTAAGCAGCTCTTACTGGCGGCGATCAGTCTTCCCTTAGCAGCTCTTACTGCGGGGATCAGTCTTCCCGAGCAGCTCTTACTGGCGGGGATCAGTCTTCCTTAGCAGCTCTTACTGGCGGGATCAGTCTTCCCAGCAGCGCTACTGGCGGGATCAGTCTTCATGCGCTCTTACGGCGGGGATCAGTCTTCCGAGCAGCTCTTACTGGCGGGATCAGTCTTCCCGAGCAGCTCTTACTGGCGGGGATCAGTCTTCCCTTAGCAGCTCTTACTGGCGGGGATCAGTCTTCCCATCAGCTCTTACTGGCGGATCAGTCTTCCTTAGCAGCTCTTACTGGCGGGGATCAGTCTTCCCAGCAGCTCTTACTGGCGGGATCAGTCTTCCCTTAGCAGCTCTTACTGGCGGGGATCAGTCTTCCCTCTTGACTCTTACTGGCGGGGATCAGTCTTCTCAGCGCTTACTGGCGGGATCAGTCTTCCTTAGCAGCTCTTACTGGCGGGATCAGTCTTCCCTAAGCAGCTCTTACTGGCGGGGATCAGTCTTCCCCAGCAGCTCTTACTGATATTAGCCAGAGATTTTTGTGACTTTTTGTGTTTTTTGGCGTTTTTTTTATATTTATTTTATTCATTGATGATGAAAATTATTAGTACTTTAGTTTAAGCTAATTCGAGGACTTTTTGTTCGTGTTTACATCAACTGTTTATGCAATGTTAAAAAATTCCCACAGTTATTGTGATATCCGCTAAGGTATTAAAATTGTAGGAGATTTGAATGATTTATAAAAATGTTTTGAAAAAAGTTCCCACAAGAGTAATTATATATTATAACAGTCATTGTTAGTCTTATTTTATGCCGTCGTAAAACTGCGGATATGTGGACAAAGGTCGACGAGTTTACCTGTGACATTTTAATTAATGGAAAAATCATCACCAGGTGTAAGTTAATGATTTATAATGACGTACAAAATACAGGTAAATATAATCATTAGCTGTACTTTAATGAACCAGCTTAAGTGAGTACATGTTCGAGGAGATAATCCGTAGAGATAATCACTATATTATAAGCATGTTGAAGATAAGCCACAAATTCCCACTGGCCAGACGAGCCCCAACACCTGCGGGGCACCTTACCTGTGTACTGAGTTTCTTATATAACACTAGACAAGACTGATGCACTTTATGTCGTCACACTGTTGGCAGCGTCTTGGCGACAGTTTTAGTCATCACGATCACCTCTCTAGAGTCTGTCATGAAGATCCTCTCACATTATATAAGACAAGTGGATCATTTTTTACATGTCTGAAACTCTCTTCTGTTCTCGGAGGTAAATTGACTTACGAATAACACGAATTAGGTATCTAGTTCTGTCTACAACACGTCTTTCTCATGATAAACTATTTCCACTTGACCCTCTTGTTAGTCATCCTCGAAAAGGTGTTCAGTGAGGGTGGAGGAGTGAGTGTTGTGTGTGTGTTATGAGGAGGAGGAAGACAGCGCCGTGTTGTTGTGGTGGTGGGAGTCACATGGTGTTCCTGGAGCGGCACGCGGCCTGACCTACACCTCCGACGTCACCACCAACACTGACTCCCTCCCTCTCCCTCTGACCCTCACCGTCCACCTCTCTCTCTCTCTCTCTCTCTCTCTCTCTCTCTCTCTCTGCCCTTCTCCTCCTCCCTCCTCCCTCACCACCACTCCTACCCTCCTCACCACCACTCCCTACCCTCCCCTCCACCCACCACTCCTACCCTCCCTCACCACCACTCCTACCCTTCCCCCCCTCCCCTCCCTCACCACCACTCCCTACCCTCCTCATCACCACTCTACCTCCTCACCACCACTCCCTACCTCCCCTCACCACTCCTACCCTCCTCACCACCACTCCCCTCCCCTCCCTCACCACACTCCTACCTCCTCCCACCCCCTCCCTACCCTCCCTCCACCACCACTCCCTACCCCCTCACCACCACTCCTACCCTCCTCACCACCCCCCTACCCTCCCCTCACCACCACTCCTACCCTCCCTCACCCCTCCCTACCCTCCCTCACCACCCTCCTCCCTCCCCCACCTCTACCTCCCTTCTACCTCCCTCCCCACACCCTCCTTCCCTCCCACCCACCTCGTCAATAACCTCTATCTAACATTGACCTGAACTATCACCATCGTCTCCAACTGATGTAATACGGCTCAGGCGATGAGAAAACTCCCTACTACCATAAATAAGGACATAATATCCTGTACAGTAGAGCAGAGACGATACACTATCTCTTATGACATATACAAAAGACAACCCACCCATCACCCACTCACCCACCACCCACTCACCCTCACCAACCCACTCACCCGTCCATCTTCCTTTCTGGTGATAAGGTCAGATACCTAATTAATAGCATACATAATTATACCAGGTTTTAAGGGTGGATTTGTACACAACTGAGGTAGTGTTTTTCATGTCAGGGACCAATTTTAGAATGTGTAAAATCTCCTTCCCTCAGTTAACTGCCAATTAGTGACAAGGTTATATTTAACTCCCCCAACCAAGCAACCCTAACTCTGTGTTGGTGCTGGAGGAAAATGTTTAAGGGAAGCTATTTACAGCATAGATACGAACTGTAAAATGTTAACAGTGATTTACAGCAGATATATTTACAGCAAATTCTTATAGATAGAAGTCATTTACAACACTGAAATAATAAATAGTGTGTGTGTTTTTATATGTGATTTTGTTTACACTTTTGACTCAGGAAATCAGTAAAAGACTCAAAACATTCGTGTACCTTAAAACACCTTCCTTCTCCTCACTCTCACCTGTACGTGATCTCTTCCCTCAGACAGACAGCTCCTCTTATTAGGGGATTGGAGGGGATCAGATCTTCTTGTTAGAGGATTATAGGGGTCCGATCCTCTTGTTAAGGGATTATAGGGTCAGATCCTCTTGTTAGGGGCTTTATACGGGGTCAGATCCTCTTGTTAGGGGATTATAGGGTCAGATCCTCTTATTAGGGATTATAGGGTCAGATCCTCTTGTTAGGGATTATGAGGTCAGATCCTCTTGTTAAGGGATTATACGGGGTCAGATCCTCTTGTTAGAGGATTATAGGGTAGATACTCTTGTTAGGGGATTATAGGGTCTGATCCTCTTGTTAGGGGATTATACGGGGTCAGATCCTCTTGTTAGAGGATTATAGGAGTGAATACTCTTGTTAGGGGATTATAGGGTCTGATCCTCTTGTTAGGGGATTATACGGGGTCAGATCCTCTTGTTAGAGGATTATAGGTAGATACTCTTGTTAGGGGATTATATGGTCAGATCCTCTTGTTATGGGATTGTACGGGGTCAGATCCTCTTGTTAGAGGATTATAGGGTAGATACTCTTGTTAGGGGATTATAGGGTCAGATCCTCTTGTTAGGGGATTATACGGGGTCAGATCCTCTTGTTAGGGGATTATACGGGGTCAGATCCTCTTGTTAGAGGATTATAGGGTAGATACTCTTGTTAGGGGATTATAGGGTCAGATCCTCTTGTTAGGAGATTATACGGGGTCAGATCTTCTTGTTAGGGGATTATAGAGAGTCAGATCCTCTTGTTAGGGGATTACCACCAAATATTTGTCCATAAACCGAATAAACTCGATTAAGCCATCAGTTTAATCCTAATCTTAAACCTAAATCAATCTTATCATAATGTGTTAATTCATTCCCATTTTAATTAATAATTGTCAATGATTAAAAAAATGATCTGGGAATTATTAATTATTTTTATTTATTTGCTAGCGGAATCGCCTCGCTAGGCCACGGTAGGACGCCACCCTCCGGGAGGCTCCACATTGTCTCACTGTAGTGCATTAAGGTGTCTACTTTGATCCTGACTTTGTACTCGTCAGAAGGCATGTTTTCCTGGGCATTTTTAAATGACTGTACATACGTGTTGCGCTCATGCATCATTTCTTGGACAATGTCATGTCTGACACCTTGAATATTGCCACACCTGATAGTAGTCTGCTTTTCATGATCTCCCATGAAGTAGATTTGGAGGAACTTTGCCTGCTCATCTTCCAGTGGTAAGAGGATCCTGCTTTGTGATAGACTTGACCCTGGACTTTGAATGTTGGTATGTATCCGTGCTCAAAACTACTCTGGTAGCCCAAGGATGCCATCTGGAAGCATGAATTATCTTCCATGTATATATATATATATATATATATATATATATATATATATATATATATATATATATATATATATATATATATATATATATATATATTAATTCTTATATTTTGTGTTTGTTTTGGTAGTCGTATAATAATGAATTAATTATACTGTTGCGGGCTTAATTATCAAGGTTATTGGCTGTATTCTGAGTGTTAGGTTAGGTTAGGTTAGGTTATGAATTGTAGGGAGGTCAGAAAATGCTGATCTGTGTGGTGATATTAATTTATGGTATTGAAGACCTATGTAAATGGTTTGGTCCTATTACGAGAAATTGGTGGCATTGAGGTGAGAAATTGGTAAAACGAGAGTTGTATTGGCAACTCTGTTGATGAATCTATTTCCTAGCGATGCAGATTGTCGGTATCATGAGCTATTTCCATCATGTATATTCATTCTCCTCTCTCTTCTCCCTCCTTTTTTCCCTCTTTCTTTCTTTCTCTCACTCCTTCCTTCCCAAATCCTCAACCTACTCCATTCTCTCTCCATCTCTTCCTCCTCCCTCTCCATCTTCCCTCACTCCTCCCTCCTTCTCTCCATTCTCCTTCCCTCCCTCTCTTCCTTCCTCCTATCTCCTTCTATCTCTCCCTTCACCTCCCATCTCCTCCTTCTTCCATTTACCCCTCTCTCTTCTCCCTCTCCCCCTCCCTCCCACAAGACAGTGATCAACGTTCACACATCCGAAGCGGAAATTACGGTGTGGTCCAGCTACTCAACCCAACACGTGACTTCTTTCAATGATTTTTTTCTTACATTATCGGACTAAATATTAAGCCAGAGGACCAGGGTTCGATCCCGGGCAGGGTGAACCTATGAGCAACTTTCTGTGCGCCATTTGCCTCCGTCTACCCAACAGTATTTGGGGACCTGGATGTTAATTAGTTTGTGGATCGTGTTCCAGGGTAATTGTAAGCCAGTGCAGTTGGCGAGTTGTCCGGTCTACTCGGACTATTCCGTGATACTGGGTCATACAGTTCGTTAACTCAGGGTGTGGTTGTTGTGTTATGACAGTTTCTACACCTTAAACAAATTCACGCCTAGGTGGTCCTTGGGTCGGCTATCCTTGAACACGAGGGGTAACTATTATGTGTGTGTGTGTGTGTGTGTGTGTGTGTGTGTGTGTGTGTGTTGTGTGTGTGTGTGTGTGTGTGGTTCGTCTGTGTGTGTGTGTGTGTGTGT